TAAATCTTTGAATAAAACCATGAAACTCCTAGAAGAAAACATAAAGAATAAGCTCCTTGACATTGGTCTGAAAAATACATTTTTAAGATTTTTAAGATTTAGGAACAAGAACAAAAATTAGTGGGACTACATCAAACTGAAAAGTTCTACACAACAAAGGAAACCATTAAGAAAATAAAAAGGCAACCTACTAAATGGGAAAAGACATTTACCCTGTTGGTGTAAGTGTTAACTGGTACAGTCACTATGGCAAGTAGCACTGAGGCTCCTCAAGAAATTAAAACAGAACTACCTGGAGTCCCTGGGTAGCTCAGTCAGTTAAGCATCTACCTTCAGCTCAGGTCATGATCCAGGGTCCTGGGATCGAAGCCCACATCAGGTTCCCTTCTTAGCGGGAAGTCTGTTTCTCCCTCCTTCTTACCCCACACCCCACTCTTTCACTCTCTCTTTCTGTCTCTCTCCCTCTCTGTCTTGTGTGCACACTCTCTCTCAAATAAATAAAATCTTTTTTAAAAAGTAGAACTACCAGTAATCCCACTTCTGAGTATATAGACAAAGGAAACAAAATTATCTGAAAGAATAACCTGTATTATGTTTATAGCAGAATGGTTTACAATTGCCTAAGTATGGAAAAAAACCTAAGTATCAGTCTACAGATGAAAGGATAAAGAAGATGAGGTGTATATACACAATGAAATATTATGCAGCCTCTAAAAAAGAATGAAATCTTGTCATAGGCAGCAAACATGAGTTAATTTGGAGAGCATTATGCTAACTGAATTAAGTTAGACTTTGAAAGATAAATACCACACAGTATCACTTGTAATATTGTCATATGTGAGTTTGTTTGCTATTTTTAAAGTTGAATTCATAGCAGTGGAGGGTATAAAAGTCATTTTCAAGGTTTGAGGTGTGGGGGAAGTTAGGAATAGCTGGTAAAAAGATGTAAACTTTTCAGTTATAAAATGGATAAGATCTGAGGAAATAATGTATAACATGGTAACTACAGTTGATAACACTGCATTGAATAATTGAAAGTTTCTAAGAGTAGAATTTAAATGTTTTCACAAAAAATATTTATATATGTGTAATATTTATATGTATATGTAAAATGATAGGTGTGTTAACTCAGTGAAGGGACTCTTCGTGTTATATATGTATATTAAATCCTCATACTGTATACTTTAAGTATCTCACATTAAATTGTCAATTACACTCAAGAAAATTAATAAAACAACATAGAAGAGGAAATGTAATCTGTACAATAATTGTAATTTTCCAGGATTTTTGCAATATTGAGAAGATATTTTCTGAATATCAATACTGACCATTAATTTTAAGTAAATTAATAAATAAGTAAATCTCTTACATTGCATAAATCAGTTATTCCAGAGGGAGAGGAAGATGGCAGCAGAGTAGGAGGACCTTAGACTAATGTTGTTCCATGAACACAAACTAGGTAACTATCAAATCATCCTAAATAACCCAGAAATTGACATGAAGACTTTAGTAAAACAAACTCCACAACTAAAGGAAGAGAAGACATTGAATAAAGTAGGAAGTATAGAGATGTGATTTGGGGAGAAATGGATGCCAGGTGCTACAGAAGGAAGAGAAGTGTGGTTGTAGAGAAGGATAAAAGAAAGAGGAGCACATGGGAACACATAAGGAGAATGTTTCCCTAAGCCATTGGTTTGGAAAACAAGAGGGGCTGGATTTCATGTATTCTTACCATCAGAGGGGCTTAGAACCTGGAGTTTTAAAGGTCAGCAGGCTCGCCTGGCATTGAGACCAGATGGCACTGCACTGCTCCTGACAAGGCAGACAAACAAAGCAGAGGGAACTAGACAGCATTATGCTAAGCAAAATAAGCCAGTCAGGGAAAGACAGATACCATATGATTTCACTCATGTGTGGAATTTAAGAAAGAAAAAAATGAAAAGAGGGACCAAAAAAAGAAGAAAAAAGAAAGAAAGAAAGAAAAGGAAAAAACAAAGCAAGAAACAGACTCTTAAGTGTAGAGGACAAACTGATGGTTACTAAGAAGGGATGAGTAGGTGGGTTAAAGAGGTGATAGGGTTAAAGGAATGCATTTGTTGTGATGAGCACCAGGTGATGTATGAAATTGCATAATCACTATGTCGTACACGAGAAACTATTACACTGTATTTTCACTAACTGGAATATAACTAAAATCTTTTAAAAGAATCACTTCTTATTAAGTTGGGAGTGGGGAGACAAATAGATAAGCAAACTAAGTATGGTGTACCATAAAATGAAATAGTATTTAGCAATAAAAGGAAACAAACTATTGATTTGCACAATATGGGTGAATCTTAAATATAATTTGCTGAGTAAAAGAAACCAGTTTCATGCCATTTTGAAAAAGGGAATCTGTAGGGCTGGAGGATATCAGTAATTTTCAAGAATTGGTAGGGCAAAAAAATTGCCTAAAAGAGGGAAGCAGGAGGGAATTTTCTACATATAGTGAACATATCTAGTACATAGATTTGGTTTCTAAATACCGTTGCCCTACGAGAAGAACTGGACTTCTTGGAGACATTTCTTCCAGGGTCGAGATAAGGAAAATTTAAGATGAGCTTGCAAGCACCTTCTTGTGCTACCTAAAAGAAGTGCTGAAAAACAAAAAGGAAAAAGAGGAAGCCATGTGCAAAGGACACAGAAGCCTCCTTGATAGAATTCCCAGTGGCCAAAGCTGGAAAAAAAAAATGGAGCAATAAATGTAATAATGATAGGTTTTATTATGATGTAAAAGAATAAGATTATATCCATGTGTCCATACTTAGAGAACAGTTTTCCTATTACTGATGTAGAACAAATGAGGTAAATAAAAAAACACCGTTAGATCAGCACAATAATAATTATCATAGGCAAAATCCACTGATAAATGTTTGTATTAGTGTGCAGAAGTTTAAGGAGAAGCAGGCTATTTTCATAGTTAAAATTTTCCCCAAAACATTTACAAAAGAAAATTGTAACATTACAGAATAGAAACTTTCCAGACAGCACCTCAACCAAGTAATCAAGGTTAATATCACTAGTCATAAAACATACATACCCTCATCTGATGCACTGAGAGGTTGCATCACATATGGTATCCTTCTGAAAAATGTACAGTATCAGCCTAATTAAACAAACCTAAATTGGGGATATTCTGTAACATAACTGGCCAGTTCTGATAATCTTCAAAATGTCAAGTCATGAGGGACAAAGAAAGAATGAGGTTCTATTTGTGACTGGAGAAAACTAAGAAATCGGAATAACTACATGCACTACTGGATCATGGATAGTCTCCTGGAACAGAAAAGAAAAATAATAATGAAAAAATTGGTAAAGTCTGAATAAGGTCTTAAGTTTAATTCATAGTATTGCATCATTGCTTTCTTCATTTTTAAATTTTTACTATGGTTATGTAAGTTGTTAACATTAGGGGGAACTGGGTAATGGGCAGATGAGAATGTAAGTACTATCTTTACAAATCTAAAGTTGTCTCAAAATTAAGTTTAGATGTCTAAGGGCCCAGTGTTTTTTTATATCTCACAATAATCAAATAGCAGTGAAGAAAAAAAGACTTTTAACTTGATCACTAAATACTTTTGATAATTATTAATTTTGTGGTTATTTTGAAGTTTTTTTTTTGTTTTTTGTTTTGTTTTGTTTTAAGATTTTTATTTGACAGAGTGAAAGAGAGATCACAGGTAGGCAGAGCAGCAGTCAGAGAGAGAGGGGGAAGCAGGCTCCCCACTGAGCAGAGAGCCCGATGTGGGGCTCGATCCCAGGACCCCGAGATCATGACCTGAGCCAAAGGCAGTGGCTTAACCCACTGAGCCACCCAGGTGCCTCGGTTATTTTGAAGTTTTAATAAAAATACTCACTAATCAATATCTAATAAGCAATAAAACCAGAGACGATTGAGGAATTGAACAGGTGAACTAAGACAAATGCTCTTAATTCGGTGCTTTGTTTTTTAGCAGTATATCAGCGTTTGTTAATTTTCTTCTTCTATTCATTCCTCTTTATTGAATGTAACCATCCATTTTTTGCCTCCTTCATATTTAACATACATTAGAATCTCAGATTTAAATTTACCCTCCTTGAAGGAACAGATTTTTTTTTTAAGATTTTTTTATTTATTTGTAGGGAGTAAGAGAGTAGAGGACTGGGGAGGAGCAGAGAGAGAGGGAGAAGCAGACTTCCTGCTGAGCAGAAAGCCCGATGAGGGGCTCAATCCCAGGACCTTGAGATTATGACCTTAGCCGAATGCAGATGCTTAACCTCCTGAGCCACCCAGGCACCCTGGAACAGAGATTTAAAATAGACTGGGCAATTACAGGTTTTGTCAGTGGCTGTTAGGGTGTCTCATGCTTTATGGCAGTTGAGAAAGTAGTACCTATAAGATGCCAAAGCACTGTGGATGCCATCACCATCCTACCTCATTAATAGCTTTACTGGGGCTTCAGTATAAGAGAATTACCTGTTACATGCCAGATTTAGTTCAATATTATTCACTGGACTGAATCTGTAATGATTTGTTGTATTCTGTATACTTGGCAATGTGCTAAACCATGTAGAAATCAAAAATCAAAATCAAAATCGTGATCTCTGCCAAAGAATCCCCACTCTTTTTGAAAGAGGACAGACCTGAAGACACTGTAGTGGGTAGAAAGAACAAAGACTTTAGAGATTTTGCAGTCATATCCTTACTATCTCTTTCTTTGATTACTAGATCTGTGGCCTTGGGCATTTATTTAAACTTTCTTGAGTTTGTTTCGTTATCTGTAATATGGGATACTAATGTCAGTCTTAGAAAATTGTTATGATCATTAATACCTGGCACATAAACACTTAGTAGATGATACCTGTTTTTACAGTTTTTGTTATCACGACTGATAGACTATTGAAAACATTGTAGTTTATTACACTAAATAATTTTGTTTACTGATTGTTATTAAGTGCTCAATCTGTGTTTTCTTCTTTAGAGATGATGAAGAGAAAAAAAAATCTCCATCTGAAGGTACTGATGAGAAGGCTAATGGAACACATCCAAAGACCATTAGTCGTATTGGGAGCACTACCAATCCATTCTTAGACATTCCTCATGACCCAAATGCTGCTGTGTACAAAAGTGGATTCTTGGCTCGGAAGATCCATGCAGATATGGATGGAAAGAAGAGTAAGCACAATTTGTTGTCATTGTCTATTTCATTTATTTCATCTTGAGGCTTAAAATTTAAAGTGAATTTATCTGAAGTAAAGTCAAGGGTGAAGAAAAATTATATTAGGTTTATCTAGAGAAATATTAACTGAACTTTGATGAAGCCTGTAACCCTAAGTCAGAAAACCATTGTGGCCCCTGCTCTTCTCCGAGTAGAATTATAGAGCTTCAGAAATGGAAGACCTCTTGCAGATAATTCATTTCCAACCTTTTGTTCATTTATTTACTCTTGATTTCAGCAAATAATTCTGGATACTTAACTATGTACTAGACATCAAAAATATAGCAGCCAATGGGATGGGCAAGGTCCATGTCTTCATGGAGTTTACATCTCTGGTGGCTGAGGGGAAGAGTGAATTTATAACATGTAAAATGATCAATAATGTAGGATCCTATAAACAAGGAAGGGAAAGAATTATGGTCTGTACACTTGAAGGGATTGGCCTTTATGGGAGATGGATAGGTATGTCATAAGCAAGCATGGTATGATTAGTACTAGAAAATTAAAGGAGTCCCATATGATGGCTCTGTGAAGTATGAGACATCATTATCTAGTGACAGGTAATAGTGTTAGAAATTTGAAAGAAATTAAGTATGTTTCTGTGCTTGAGTAACCTATGCAAAGGTGAAATAGCAATTTGATATAGTTGAACAAGCTAAGGTAAGCTAGTATGTATGCTCAAAATTAGTGGGTTAAACCTTTAGGGTGTTCCTACCTATCTACGAACACAATTAGGCACTGCTTGGATGGGCAGTACCACTATTTCCATCTGTGGCTGGGTACTTTTTCTTAATGTGTTAGCACATTTTATTGGGTTATGGTCAAGAGAAATATTGTAACAGAGTGGCTTTGACACTGACTTACGATGCTGAGTAAGTTTCTCAGTTTTTCCAAGTTCCTTAGGAGTACCTCTACCATATATCCTATACACTCTATATACTAGCCTATTAGACTACTTAATTTTCTGGAAGAGAATTATTTCAGGACTCATAGTTGCAAGTGACAGCAAGTTTAACTGGCTTAGGAAAAAAAGGACAAGGGCACACGTAAAATGAGGAGTGTTGCCAGGACACTTTGTCCATTTCTGTCTCTGCATTATATTGCATGTCACCTTTACTCTTGGAAACAGGTCTCTCTTACATGGTTACATGATTATTAGCACCATTTTAGAGCATGTGTTCAATTTTGTCAACAAAAAGTATTCTCCTTCTTTCCTAATTTTGAATTTACTATATTTTGGGAAGAACTCTGATTTGTATGACTGAGAGATGGAATACTATAATTGTCAGCACTCACTGGGTTGAAATGCAAAAAGGGAAAGTTCCCTCAAGAACGAATAAGATACAGTTTTCATAGAAAAGGGGTTTCTTTTTGGCAGACAAAGCAACAGATATTCATCTCTTTGTTGCCAGCATACACACATACCCTTTCTCCAGCCAGTTCAAGCAAAGCTTTTGGAGAACATAATACCATCTTCCATTTATAACCACAGATCTACTCATCTCTGTCCCACATGTCATGCCTAGGAGTGGCTCCCATCTCCAAGGTTTAAATTTGCTGGTCAGTGTCCATTTTCCCTAGGTAGGGATGTAAATTCACGCTATAGTCTAAATAAAACTACAGAAATATCTGACATAGTTTATATGAAGTACTAGAAACAAAAAGTAGAATAACTGCAGTTTAAAATACCAGTTCAGGAAAGGCAAAAAAGGAAACAATACCAATCATTGGTTTAGTGTATTTTACTACTTTCTGCAGAGTTAACCTACTTGAACATCTTTTCATTGATTCACTTCTGTAGCAATGGATTGACATAATTGATTAACTTATTCCAGAGAGTCCCCAGATTTGGCCTACCAGTGAAATTTTCTTTCTGTCTTGTTTTCCTGGGACACTTCTAAGGATTATTGGAGAGAATTAACTTGCTGGAAGCTCTGCTCCCTTAGCAGTCCACTGTATATGAGTATAGGTACAAAACCTGGGAGTTGCTTAATAGTTGAGCCATCCTAGACGTTTTATATCACGCTAGATTTTCCTGCCAATATAACGCCTTTAAAGCCTTAGTTAACTCCTCTGAGAACTTGAGGTTCATTAGGTCAGTTTTAAGTGTCATGGGACTTTTATCTTTTTAGCAACTTAAGAATTTCTGCTTAGGTGAGACACTCCCCGCAAAGACCAGCACAAGCCCCTGCCCTCATCATGTCCCTAAAGCCTAAAGTTTTAAAAGTCAGCAGGCTTGGCTGGGATACAGCTCAGAGAGCATGGCACTACACCTGGAGAGAAGTCAGACAAACAACCCAGAGGCAGACTGTACAAATAAACAGTGGGGAGATTATTCGCTCTTCTTGGCCTGCCTCCCAGAGAGGCAGCATGCATAGTACTCCTCTCCAGGAACAGAGAAACCGGGTAGGGCCACTTCCTCCACCACCCCTCAGCATATACCCAGAGCCACCTAGGGTAAGCAGCAAAGTGCCGACCCTGGCTGTCTAACCTGCTTACACCAAGTCACATCCCTGCAATCTGGTAGTACTGCCCTTCTCCATAAAGCTTGCCTCAGTCCCAGTGCTGAAGGCCATTTCCACAGAAGATCAGCAGAAGCCCCTGCCCACACCACAGATCCTGACCAGAGTTCTTTATGGCTTCAGTTCAAGTGGAAATATCAAGTCTCATTTAACGTGCAGACCAAAGTGCACCCAGTTAAAACATGCTACATTCTAGCCAAGGACCAAACACTTCCCACTTCAGGCAAGGAGAACCCCTGCAGAAACTGACCTGAAGGATACAGCAGCCAAAACACAGTAGTAGAGAGCACGCAGCACACACCAGAGACCCTATCTGATGTACCAGGTCCTGGACCTATATGATCTCTTCTTGATAAAGCCATGATTATCAGGAGCAGGAAACATACAGGCTTTTCTAACACAGAGAGGAAGAGAAATTTAAACAAAAGCCAAAGACATAGAAATTTGTCCCAAATGAAAGAACAAGATAGGGTCACAGCCAGAGAGCTAAGCAGAACAGATACAAGTAATATGACTGATGGGGAATCCAAAGCAACAATCATAAGGATACTTTGCTAGCTTAAGAAAAGATGGAAGACCAGGGAGACCCTTATTACAGAGATAAAAGAGTAAAAAAACAATTAGAAATGAAAAATTCAGTAACTGAGATTCAAAACAGGCTTGATGCAATGAACACAAGGATGGAAGAAGCAGAGGCACAAAGAAGTGACATACAAGATAAAATAATGAAACATAAGCTGAACAAAAGAGAAAGAATTTTGCAATATGAGAATATACTTAGGGAACTCAATGACTCCATCAAATGTGATAAAATTCATATTATAGGTGTACTAGAAGAAGAAGACAGAGAAAAGAGGACAGGGAATTTATTTGAGAAAATAATATATGAAAAGAGAAAAGTCTCAAAAGCAGCAAGACAAAAAGAAGTCCCTAACTTACAGGGAAGACCCATGAGGCTAGCTTCAGATCTCTCAACATAAATTTGGCAGGCTAGGTGGTAGCGACATGATATGTTTATAGTACTGAATGGGAAAAATCTGCAACCAAGAATAGCAAGGCTATAATTCAGAATAAAAAAGATAAAAAGAGTTTCTCAGACAAAACTAAAGGAGTCCATAGCCATTAAACCAACCCTGCAGGAAATATTAAAATATTAAAAGGGAAAAAAATATTGAAAGGAAAGACCAAAGTGACAAAGACAAGAATGTAATAAAGAAAATCTCCCAAAACAAGCCAAGTAATAAAATGGCACTAAATACCAATCTATCAGTAATTACACTAAATGTAAATAGATTAAGCACTCCAATCAGAATACACAGTGTCAGAATATATTAAGAAAGAAGACCCATTTATCTGCCTACAAGAAATTGATTTTAGACCTAAAGACACCTATGCATTGAAATTGATGGAATGGAGAAATACTTATCATGTAACTGGACATCAAAATAAAGCCAGATTAGCAGTACTTCTATACAACAAACTAGACTTTAAACCAAACACTGTAAGAAGAGATGAAGGGCATTATATCATAACCAAGGGGACAATCTAAAAATAAGTGTAATTGGAAGTATTTATACATGCAGCGTGGGGTCACCCCAATATATAAAACAATAACAAACATAAAGGAACTCATTAATAATAATACAATAATAGTAGGGGACTTTATCTCCCCACTTACATCAATGAACAGATATCTAAGCAGAAAATTGACAAAGAAACAATAGCTTAATAACTTTGGATGATGCACTGGACCAGATGGACTTCACAGATATATTCAGAATATTTCATCCTAAAGTGGCAGAATGCACTTTAATGCAGGTTCTTTTTGAGTGCACATGGAACGATGTCCAGAATAGATTATATACTAGGTCACAAATCAGGCCACAAGTACAAAAAGATTGAGATCATGCCATGCATCTTTTCTTTTTTTTAAAATTAAATTTTTTTTTATTTAATTTCTTTTCAGTGTAACAGAATTCATTGTTTATGCACCACACCCAGTGCTCCATGCAATACATGCCCTCCTTAATACCCACCACTTGGCTCCCGCAACCTCCCACCCCCCGCCCCTTCAAAATCCTCACATTGTTTTTCAGAGTCCATAGTCTCTCATGGTTCATCTTCCCCTCCAATTTCCCTCAACTCCCTTCTCCTCTCCATCTCCCCATGTCCTCCATGTTATTTGTTATGCTCCACAAATAAGTGAAACCATATGAAAATTGACTCTCTCTGTTTGACTCATTTCACTCAACATAATCTCTTCCAGTCCCATCCATGTTGCTACAAAAGTTGGGTATTCATCCTTTCTGATGGAGGCATAATACTCCATAATGAATATGGACCACATCTTCCTCATCCATTCGTCCGTTGAAGGGCATCTTGGTTCTATCCACAGTTTGGCGACCATGGCCATTGCTGCTATAAACATTGGGGTA